GTACAAAATTATAGCCTGATATCGGTGATGAGTATTTTGTACGTCTAAGTGTGACGTTGTTATTGATTCTTTGAAGTTATAAATATCTCCTGGTTATTTGAAAAAAGCGGTGGTTGAACCTTCTCTTCGTCATAAATATTTTGTTACCAATAATGTGCAAAATGATACCTTCTTCTAAGGTATTTCAATCCAACCACGATCCTTTATTTCATTGAACATTGCTGTATCCAACATCGCCCTGAATTAACACAACAGCGGTCATCAAACCGTCGACTAATCATAGTTTTTATTATTAGTTATTGTTATATCTGTTAGTTGCTCATTGATAATTTTTGTAAGTGCTGAATTTGTTGAAACTCATTTCAAATACCAAAATTGTTTCAGAACTGAAATAATATTTTTTATCGCCTACTTAGGTAGTGAATTGTGTTGATATTGAAGGTAGAATTTTGAAACGCAAGTTTGGATATCGAATCTCCAATTTTCAGAAATTGAATCTCAAATGACTTTTCAAATTGTCCGTAAAATAAAAAACTAAAAATGAAAATAAAAGAATTAAATTTTAGCACAATTTTCAACAAGTAAGATTTCTGATTTCGTTTAAGGTATCAAGACCTTTCTTTCATCTAAAATCTTTATTGCTATCAGTTGCTCTATATCTTCATAGAAAAATGATAACTTTGTTACTTTTCAAGGTTATAGAGTATTTTATCGGAAGTTTGTCAGCAAAAAACAAATATATATTTATTTGAAATTACTATTGTGTAAACTAGTAAAAGAACAATTCGGGTTACGATTTAATTCGACTTTAACGAGAGAACCCGAAAGTATAGAAATTGGACCCAGCTTCTCCAGCTGAGTAGTAGGACCTCCTTGCTCCCACAAGGTTCGTTTGTTGTTTTGTGGGATGTATCAAATACATCTAGTATATCAAATTGATTTTTTTAATTTACTGATATTATACCAATTTTAGCTTTTTGTGCTGTCGGGGTTTAAAACACTTATAATCAAGACCAAAGAACGATCAACCTCTTTCTGTGTGGCATTATATGTAATGTGAATATGTGCAAAGCAAAATTTTGACTCCCAACTATCATCCTGTAATCATAATTTAGTTTTGTACTTTAACATAAATTCAGCATCTTTAAAAATTAAACAAATTTTGTTGTTTTGTTAGGTATTTGACCGAATCAGTGCATTTTTTAACCACCTATTTAACTCAATACAAACAGAAAAGACCTTATATAGTCATTGAATAAGTATCATGCAATATATATAAAAAGATGTGGTATGATTACCAATGAGATAACTCTCCACCAGAGACTAAATGGCATAGAAGTTAACATATATAGGTCACTGTACGGTCTTCAACAATGAACAAAACCCATACAGAATAGTAAGCTATAAAAGGCCCAGAAATGACAAACGTAAAAAAATTCAAACGAGAAAACTTACAACCTGATTTATGTACAAAACAATAAACGAAAAACAAATATGATAAACAGCAACACACGACAACCACTGAACTTGGGACAGGCACATACAGAATGTGGCTGGGTTAAACATGTTTGCTGTCGCAAAACCCTCCCTATAACATGGGATAGTGGTGTAACAGTACAACATAAGAACAAACTATAAATATCAGTTGAAAAGGGCTTTACTCATCAGATTGATACACAGCACATTGAAACCCTACCAAAAAAAAAAAAAATACACAAAGTATAGATCTGAGATTACTCGTAGTTACTGAAAACTAGTTCAAAGCCAATAACAAATAATAAAAAAATCATATTTCGAAGACCAGAATATCAATCAGTACTCATCCAACATCCAATGGATTTGGTGTAAAGACGTCATTTACAGTCAGAGAATATATATGCATTTATGTGAGACACTACTGACACAAGTTAGGAGCAGTATATTCAGCGCTCATCAATATGTTTTACCCCGACACATTCACATTATGCATAGATTAAAACTTTTTTTAATGGAAATTAACATTTTATTTTCTTTATATGTCGTTTCATAAACATACATCATATAAAATTAATAGATATATTGTATGCATGATTAAATTAATATATTCATATGATTTATTCTTTACTAGACCAAAAATCTCATCACCTTCGCAAAAATATGCAATTTCTTTATCTAACATCATGCATGGAAATACTTGTTTTGCTTTTGTTGAAATTTTCAACTTATTAGAAGAAAAATGAGTGTATTGGTCTAAATTTCAAGGAAAGCATTGAATCAAAAGATATTTATCATTTTGTTACTCGCCTAATTATTTTATTCTATTAGTTTGACGACCTGGAAAGACATGTAAATAAGTCTTCCAAGTTGAAAATGACGTTATGTTGGTTAGTTCCAGTGATTTTGCCTAAGAAATTTCCTCCCTTCCTAAACGGACTATTGAATTCTTCCATCAAAATCAAATTTCAAGGACAATGCACTACTGTTTTAAAGAAGATTCGAAACATTGCGATATAACCTTTGTTTGTGTTAATCAATTTTCTTGTATGTGTATTCAACCCTATTTTCATTATAACAATCCATGTCTGTACCACTTTAGGATATCTTGGCATGTGTTGTTTTTCTATGTTGTGTTTTGTGTACTGCTGTTTGTCTTTTGGTCTTTTTCCCCCTTTTTTGCCATGTCAGTTTATTGTCGACTTATGAGTTTGAATGCCCCATTGGTATCTTTCGCCTATCTTTATGTTCCTTGTTGTATGTCTTTTTGGGGAGTAGTCGGGTGTTGTTGGTGAGTATGGTCTGTTGTATTGTCCAATATGTGACATATGTGTGGTTATTTCTGTAATCTTTACAAAAAAAATTAAGAATTGTTTGCTGCTAAAAAGACATTTTGCAACTGCTTGATTTAGGCGATAGTTTAGTTCTTCATGAGCAATTTCTTCATCTATTTTATTTACATATAACTTTTAAATGAAACAATCTATGAGCTGACCATTTAAAAGAAAATTGGCTTCAACATATTTATTTCGCTGTAATACTAGACGACAATAAACAAACTAAATAGCAATCCAGCAAATGAGATAGCAACCCAGCTAATGGATAGCAACGTAGCATTAAACAACATTAAAAAATAAAAGACCGCAACTTTGTTTAAATACAAAAAGTTAGTGTCTGCATAATAGGAAGGAGAAAGTTATTATTCCTTGAACTACAAACGTCTTGAAATGTCAATCCACTAAGGAGAACAAATATGGATGATCCCCATACAAATTAAGTACTTAACAAGAGATTTAAAAGCAAAAGTTTGATAGAATTTAGTCATACGAAATACAGAAAAGTCGTGGCGAAGTTTCGTGAAAGACTTAACTCATCTTTGCTTATGATACTGGATTCCGCAAGATTCCTAACACACTATATTTGTTTCTCTTGTCAAACTTTGATAGTAAACGGCCCCTCTGTAATGTCAATGAATATTTCTTACAGCAAAACTACTTGAAATGAGGGGTAACAGGAGATCCTTCAAATCAGACTCGGGACTAGTAGTATCGAGAGGTCAGAGTTTGTTACGTTCACAGCCAAATTGCTGATACTTATTTGTACTGAATCTAACACTTCGGTCTTTTTCCTAGATTGTGCATTAATAATGTTCTATTTTTTAATATCTTTTAAAGTTGATAACTCAAGTAACAATTATGGTACAATATTTAGAAATTCTTATCATTTTCTGACATATTTTTCATACAATTTTTAAACATTCATTTCATCTCATACATTTCATATGAAAAATCCAGAGACAAATTTTGTTCTGTCGATTTTTTTCTTATTCCTTATATTTCAAAATCAAACACACAAACCTAATAGTATCATTACTTTTCCATAATTTTGTTGTATAACTCATTGTCTATTGGATCCTGGAGTATGCATGAAATATTTTCCGCATGACGCTAGTAAAAAACAATTGATCAATCAATCAGTATGTATTGGAAACATCATGAGCTTATTGCATGCATGAAGAATAATTTTTTTTTCATAATTATGTATCGTATAAAGATATATTCCCGATACAACAACTGTTGTGTTAGTATGAATATAAGGAGACGTTGGGTAAATGAAACAGCAACTTCGCAACATAAGTTAACCTTTCAGACATCCAAAATGTCAATATACAATATATGTAAGGCCTTTAAAGCTTTCCGATTCCCATAGTGTGCCACTTCACGTACACCCATGAGGACCAAGGGTAGACTGCATTTGTTTGTTTGTACTAATATCCATTTTGTTTTTTAACTTTCATATTGTATAAAAAGTAATCAGTGATTAGGGCTACGAAAACAAAAGGACCTTGTATACTCTTTGAAAATAATGCAATGTTGAAAACGTGTTTATCTCTTAAAAATGTTAATGTAAAAAATAATCGATCTAAACGAGATAGTAAAACATATTGAAAATAGATAAATCTTACAAAAATGACAAGTTTAAATATTTTTGGAGCGATTAAGTAATGATCAGTTTTATTATTACATAACAAAAAGACAACCAACATATGTTATATATCACACAGATGTTTTTTGTAGTAATAATCATTTGTCAAACGTATTTCTGAAGTGTTAAATTGTCATTATTCTGCTTCTTATTTAAAAAGAAATTCCTTGTACACAATCATTTGGGCATTAATATTTCACTGTTCTCGTTTTTTAAATGAAACTGTAGTTTTTTTCCAATTCAATATGCAATTTATCAACAACAAAAAATTAAAAAGAAAAAGGTGCATACAGAAATGTAATGTGTACAAGTGTAAAGTGTCTGGTGTTCATCATTTAAATCAAAATTTGATAAATTAATTAAATTTTGTTGTAATTATCTGTACATTAAATGAAAACGACACCTGTCAACAGCCGCCTCGAGACTATACATTGTCAAAACAGATTCCGACATGCACGATAATTTTTTTTACCGATTGGGTGACATAATGTCAATATTTCAAATTTTTCCATATTGTTTTATGAAACAAGTTAATAACCTACCTTTTCTTTAGCTAGTAGACTAATTCCATATCTCAAATTTGCGTGCTTCACTGTTTCTATCTTAAAATGGTATTGAACGCCTTGTCAGTAAAAGCTGTAATTACTACGTATTTTAACTTCAGCGTTTCAGATTATTCATGATTACTGTTAAGGCTGCGAGTTAATGAAAGCTGCTAGAGGAACAACATGCTGATTGTATCTAAATCATAGTCGAAATAAACAACTTGTTAAAATCATGTCGTTTTTGTTTGATCTGAAGAGGTTACTGATTTATCCAGTCCAATTGGATGAATTTGTCTCGTCGCTACGTCTTATTTCCATAATGTAAGCTAAGTTGTAAGTACACTGAGCCGTAGGTGTTTGGTTAATCTGTGCATTTCTTAACATATTAAAAATCGTCGTTTTCTATCTTTGAATTGATACTGTAATAAATTGAATTATAGGCAACAGTGGTTTATCGATGTTCAAATCTCATAAATCCATTAAGAAGATACAAATTAATTTGTAAAAAAACAAAAACTGAGGAAACCGTATGAATTCCAGAAGAAGCGATATCGAATGTGTCGACGGGATAACCTGTTGATATTTTATTCATCAACCATGTTGATACTTTTTTTTCCGTTGACATTATATTATCAGAATACAGAACCTCGTTGACATTATATTATCAGAATACAGAACCTCGTTGACATTATATTATCAGAATACAGAACCTCGTTGACATTTATTATCAGAATACAGAACCTCGTTGACATTATATTATCAGAATACAGAACCTAAAATGCTTGAGTATGATGCTCCCCTAAAAGTGTATATTATGTATTATTTTTTTTATCTTTTGCAGTGACTTCGGTGTCATGTAGTTCTTAAATTGATACTTTGTGCTTTCTTATTGTTTTGTCTTTGTTTTGCAAAATGAAGTTGCTATAATTTGGTTTATTTATTCAAATGTTCAGCTATTAAAAGTGGTTTATCGGAACCATATTAAACAGTATTTAATAATAACATATGGAACTTGATGAAAATCGAAATTTCCACTTTTATATGACTTGATTGAATGTACGAAAAGTTTTCACATATATGCTATTGCCAGTACAAAAAGATAACCAAATACCATTGCTCATTATACTTAACAGAATTGCACTTTTATTTCGTGACTGTTTGAATGTGTGAACGTTTTCCTTAGACCAATTATTTAGTAAATTAAAAAAATATATATATTCTCCAATCACGATACTATCTTATAACATTCCTGTGTTCAATTTCTGATCACGATTTAGTGCGTTTGAAATTGGATTCTATCTTCCTCAAATCAAATCTAAAACGATAGCGAGATTTAATTCCTAATGTTCTAATTTTTAAATGTCGAAATATTCCTATTAAACCGAGAATCTGTCAATAGTTACAAGAATTAAAATGGCGCAGCTTGATATGTGTGTAAGAATATTGCTTAATGGCAAGTAATCGTAATCCTGCTATCCCCAAAATCATCAGAAGTTACATGTAGAGAAACGTTTTAAGATTTCACTCATCAATACACAAAAGATTTAATTACTTTACCTTCAATTATTGATTATCTTGATAAGAATTGTTTTCCGATAACTAGTTTGCAATCATAAAATTCCCATTAGAAAGACATCCCTTCATATTCAATATAGGAGCTTCTTTCCTTAAATTGTAAATAAAATAAGAACAATGCTACAGATGCTATTCGAGTATAGTTTAAACCGGTAATTACATTCTTTCTTCCATATGACATTGAAAATTAAGGACAAGTTATTAGCCTTTTTGTTTGTTTTCTTTGCCGTATGATAAAGGAGACATATCCACAAAAGCCCACAAGGACGAGACATTAAATAACTATACACCTACAGGTCACTATGAATATAGCCTAGGCAAAAAGGCAAAGACTCATACTGTAAAAAAGCACATACAATTCATATGGGGAAACCAAATTTTAAAACAACAATTTAACTGCTTGACATCTAGTGCACCTGCATTCCCAGGTTTTTTTAGGGGATCGTGTAGCTTAATCTTTAGTTTTCTGTGTAGTGTTTGGTGGAATGTTATTATACTGTTTGTCGTTTTGTTTTTGCCCATGGTGATGTTAGTTGTTCCCGGCATTAACTTACTTTGATTGTTCTCCTGTTAAAAAAAATACCACCAATGTAACGAAAAACAGACGAAACATGAAGATAACAACTGTAAGACAAACGGACTCGTGAATTTGACCAGTAACATTAAGTATGTTCTAAGAAAAAGTGATTGCCAATAATATTGTCTTGTTTTATACTTAACATCCATGCACTAAGCCTAATTGTACGAGGTACAGAATTTAAAAAAAAATATATATAAAATCTGATATTATCATAATTTAAATTAACGACATCAGTAAATTACTTATTATGATAAGAGGAATGCGTCACAATAAAAGGGTTTGGATATACCAAGTCTTTGGTTAACGGAGAATATAAAGTTTGAAATTTTATCATTCGTAACTGTCAACATATATTTGACAAATTATAATCAAACATATGTATCAAACCTTGGACACTAAATTAATATTCAAGTCAGTATTTAGGTTTCCACAGCTTGTTATTTCTTCGTTACTTCATTGTTCTTCAAATGAAACACAATATACCCTTGCTAACCTTGTATTCTAGATTTATGATTGTTCTTTAATTGAATGAAATATTTGAATGTACAATACAAGACTTTTCCCGACTCTCATTCAGTTTAAAAGCAAGAAAGAGATATTTGTTAAATTGTTTTTTTTTCTTTGTAGGATTTGCTGAAATGCCAAAGAAATTAAGTTCGAAAACAATACATTTATTTGACTAAAAACAGTTTTTTGTGATTAATATGATTACAAATGTAGGTGATTTTAAAATGTAAAAAGACTGTTTGAACAACATTTAATTACGCGCAGCATCTCTTGTCCATCTTTTAAGAAACGATTTAATATAGTATTATAAGATGAACTGCATGTAAATCTACAGTGCTAATAGTAAAATGTCAAAAACGGCAAATAATAACAAACTGCTCCATGGCGAAAATTTTATTGATTTTGGTTATCTGAGTGTTTGAATGTGTTACGCTCAAAGAAAAAGTAAATGTTATACCAAACAAAATTCATAGTCATTTACATTTCATTCAAGTATAGGAAAACACTGAATAGCAATCAATCGAATGATGGGTTATAAAAGAAACGTGTACAGTGACATGACATGGATGATGAGACATTAATCCAAGAAATACCATAGAGCTGCATGTTAAATAACGTCTAGTACTTTATCACCGATCGTTCAATTGATAACTACAATCAGTGGGAAAATCTAACACTTAACCCTACTTTAACCGATTAACATTGCAATAGATCTTATTGCAATTAATATTAGCGATATCTATGCATCGCATGGAGATATAATTCCATCAAACGGAAACCATATAAGATATTGATGATTTATAGAACTTAAATCTTTACGTAAACAAGCGAAAGTGCATTGAACTTTATTACCCCATTTTATACTGAAAAAATCATACATGTTTTGTACTTCTAATCAGTTAAAGTTTTATTTATCTTGATGTTTTGTACCTTCATTTGCTTTTCCTCTCACGTGTACGAATACATTTTGTTCTTCACTCCGTATGACATATTGTATATTTCATAACGTAAAAATGAAGAATAGCACAAGTTGAATGCAAAGAGCCAAAAAAATGCTGTATTTCATTTGCGCAAAAATGAAGGTTATATTTCTGTTTTTTATAGTTGCGTAAAAAAAAATAATACTTGTCTTATTTTGTGCTTACAAATTCTGAATGTGAGCTACATTCCATGTACGAGGCTCGTATAAGAAATGTGTTAATCCTAGTTCAGTGTAGAGTTTTTATGATGGATTTGTGATAACTATTTATAGAATGATCGATTGCTGCTTGATTATCGTCCAGTTGCAGTTATATCATGCATATTCAGGACGAGAAAAAATCAACAATTAGGGAGGGTCTGCAAGGTAGATCCACGGGGAACCATATTAGTAAAAGTTTCATTTTTATCATGCTCAAAGCCCAAGGATTTGGGAGGGTGTTAATTTCTGATGATGTTTTGGCCAAAAATGGAAATCCTGCGAAAGAAGTTTTTGGTATTATATATATATTTGTTTGTGTGTGTATATCTTTCATTCTACTGTACCGATGGTACAGCAAATTTAAGAGCAAGTTTTTAACAAAATGTGGAGATTAAAAACAGTAGCGACTTTATGATTAAATGCATTATAAAACACCAAGCAAAATGCACATTAAACGAAAATAAAAAAAATTCTGACTCTCTCCTTTCTCGATGACAACGTTTTCAAGTTCCTTTCTTGGTATGCTACTCTGCATTTGATTGCTTATACTGGTAAGAATATAATTATGCATCTGAAGAACCCACTGATTGATAGTTGACAACACTCCGATTTTCAGAAAATATTTTCAGATAAACTTTTCATTAATGAAGGTTGTTTTGCGGGAAACAAAATCACAATGACTTTCTGATAGGCATGATGAGACTCTTTGAGCGCATGAAAGACGTCATTGTTGCTACAAAAATTAGATAAAGTGTTTCAGAACTACATTAACGCTATAAAAAACTTGCATCATTCATACTTTGTCTATGTAATTGCTTTAACAAAAAAGCTGATAGCTAAACTTTGATGTATAGTTCACCCTGGATTATAATGTAATTATTCTTTATTGGCAAAGTTGTTTCTTGACTGCATTAACTATAAAGTGTTTCTTTTAACATTTTCACCTTCGAGACTTTTTAAAGAGCTCAATGTTTACACATTTTTTTCTTCAAATTGTTTACACCAAACTTAACAAATTATACTTTTTACATTTACGATGGAATAAATCCGACAACAAGACTTCAAATTTCAGACATTTTGTTTGTTGTAAGTGAACATATTTGTAGTACAGGTGTCATACAGTTTTAACAGGATATTCTCAATGACATGTGAAATGAGAAAAAGAGAATACGGCTTTAAATAGAAAGAGAAGAGTCTGACAATATCATTGCAGAAAATATAATTGTTCTGTCCGTTATCACTTTCAAATAATTCTGCAAGATATGCGTACG